TCATAAGTGTGAAAAATGGTCATAAGTCACTTTTTTCAGTGTCATTGTAACTTTAAATGGTCACTCTACACAAGCAAAGTACCAGCAAAGGAGGAAAAAAAACTCCAGAGACGTTCCTGAGACAGGAAGTCTACTCCTGCCAAGAATGTAATAAGGGTTAACGGAGAGGCAGTTTCTGTAAGCAACACCAGAATGTTTCCTTCCTGCCTTCCTTATAGGATTAGGCCAGTAATTTCTTCTAACAACCGGTTCTCCGAACTGCTTAGAATGTTAACAACCGGTTCTAGTGAATAGGTGCGAACTGGTAGAATCCCACCCCTGATTACATGGCCCTGGGATGCTGCAACCATCTTAAATACATGCCAGTTGCTGAGCCCCCAAATTTTGATCAAGTGACTGGGGATGCTATGACTGTGGTAATTGCAAAGACTGGTGTTGTAACTTTGAACAGATGCTAAATGAATGGTTGTAAGTTGAGAACTACTGACTAGGGGGGAAAATACCCTTCAAATTCAAAATCCCATCTGTGAGAGTTTGCAGCAGAAATTCAACTCCAGAAAGCACACAGATGACTGATTCAGCAGGATTCATTAACTTCTTTATATACATAGTAACATGAAGTAAAGTTTACAATACCATTAGTAGTTTCTTCCAACCTAACATAAGCAAAACAAAAACAGCAGCTCAGGAGCTCAGAACAGATTACTCTACTTTAGTTCAGCAGGCAAGCAACTTAGTTTCACTTTAGAGCTGAGCATGCGGAGCTAAGCCACGCCCAGACTCTCAGCCCCCAATTCAGCTTCCATTGGCTGACTTTGTTAACCATGTCTCTGCCAGTTCATGAATATTCTGACACCATCTTGAACCCTATCCCTGACTTTTTCACTGGAAGAGTGTAGTGGCTTTATACTGTTTTGGAATATCTACAGTACCTCCATCCTGCCTGCAGACTCTCAAATCCATTACAGTAGCCACTCTGAGGGATCTCTGGTGTTCTATGAGCTTGGTTGTTTTCTTGTAGACCTTTCATTACCCAAATGAAGCAACATTATCCATGATAGTGATGTTAGCATCAAGACTGGTGATGTTAACTAGTTTGACTAATGAAACGCCTGCAAGAAAATAATCAAGCTTAGAGAGCACCAAGGTCCTCCTCATTTCAACCCTGAGCTACAAATATCCTCCTTTATTACCCTCTCCAATTTCAGAAAAGTAGCACTCAGCACTTTCTCAGTTAAATGAACATATAACTGACATCCATGGACATCCAAGGCTGCTCCTAGTAAGGTAAAAGGATTGCCCATGCTCTTTCTCTTTCAGCACACAATTTGCTCTGCCTGCAGTAATTTTCACTGACATAAATCCCACTTCAAAGGATTATACTTCTATGAACCCAAAATTCTTGAGAACAGAATATATGCATCTGGCCAGGAGTTCAGAAAGAAGCAAAATTAGCTAGAAGTAGAACTGCAATGGAAATTCCACATAGTGTTTTACATAGTTTTATCTTAACCAGCTAATTCCCTTTGAGATAATTTTTCTATTCTTCCCATTATTTTCCCATTTATAGCTAAACAAGGCTATTGTTTTCCAGAGATGGGGAATGTGGAAGAAAACTAATATTATCAATAAAAGCAAAGGATATATATCTTTCATAGTTCAATGCCTGCGGTAATCATTCCTAATTCTTAAATGTATGTTTTCAATTCTGAATAAGTGACTAAAGTTAACAGTAAATTTGTTATGTACAGTATTTTTGGATACATATAATTTGGAACATTATACTATGAGAGATACTAGAGAGAGAGATCCACTACTGGTTCTTCTTTCACCCCATCCTATCAGCAAAGATTCAACACAATTTCATTTTGTGGTGCAGATTACGTAAAACAAATACATAGCATTAGTGCTGCTGTAAATTATTGAAAGGGATGCTGAATAGCTCCCATAAAATTTCTTCTATCCTTCCCTTCCTGTTTTAATCAATTGTTTGTCCATACAGGAACTGATTCATAGCCTGGGTCAGCTAAGTAGCTTCTGTTGAAAGACTGTCAACAGTTTTTTGACTATGCAAGTAGAATTTACTGGATTTTTGCCATGTTCTTACTTGTTATCACCTCCAAATAGTTGGTGATACAAGATTTTTATGTTAACGCTTATGGATGCTTTCCTAACCTGGCTTATTCCTCAGAACATTTTAAAACATATAAGCTACTTTCTACCAACATAAGCACAATAATTAATTTTTAATTTTTCAGTTCTATAATTTTTGAATTATATTCCTGTTTGAAAAAATTATCAGTCATATTGTAATGGCTTACTTTATTCTCTTGGTTGACATGATAATTTTTATAATATACATTTTGTATTAATTATGTTTTTGGATGAGGCTCATTCTCCTAACACAAACCCTCTTCCCATCCATTCTTATTGTTTTTTTTTTTCATGTAGAGCAGAGGTCCCCAAACTTGGCAACTTTAAGACTTGTGGACTTCAACTCCCAGAATTCTAGAAGTTGAAGTCCACAAGTCTTAAAGTTGCCAAGTTTGGAGACCTCTGATGTAGAGGGAGGATTTTCTCATAACACAAAAAAAACTCACTTTGAATTGGCTTCGTTTGTTCTTAGTAATGATATCACACAAATCAAAATAGCCATAAAGAGACAATACATGATTTTCATATAATACCTATGTGACAAGTCTCAGGAATAAAAGAAATAATAGTTAAATCAGAAGGGAAGAAATAAAACACTGGCTCTAAACAAGGATAGAAAAGTTTAAGTTCATGAAATTGATAAGTTCGTAAAAACAAAACTCCAGTTTCTCAACAGATCTCCTTCCCAAAGGAAACAGTACATTTTACCCAGCACCCATGCTATACTCGCATTAGATGATGTTTGGCTCTCTTCTGTCCATGTTTTGGTTTAAGATGGTACTACATATTAGAAATAGAATAACAGAGTTGGAAGGGACCTTCTAGTCCAACCTCCCGATTGGGCAGGAAACCCTACACCTCTTCAGACAAATGGTTATCCCATCTCTTCTTAAAGACTTCCAATGTTGGAGCATTTACAACTTCTGGAGGCAAGTTGTTCCACTGATTAATTGTTCTAACTGTCAGGAAATTTCTCATTGGTTCTAAGTGGCTTCTCTCCTTGATTAGTTTCTACCCGTTACTTCTTGTCCTGCCCTCAGGTGCTTTGGACAATAGCTTGACTCCCTCTTCTTTGTGAAAGCCACTCAGATATTGAAGACTGCTGTCACGTCACTCCTAGTCCTTCTTTTCATTAAACTAGACTTACCCAGTTCCAGCAACCGGTCTTTATATGTTTTAGCCTCCAGTCCTCTAATCATCTTTGTTGCTCTTCTCTACACTCTTTACATGAAGTTCTTTGGAGTTCTTATTCTTTATAACCAAATAACAAAAATGTGGATATCACAGTGTTCTGTCTCACCTGTATCCACAGGTGAGAATTCCAAGTTCAAATATTCAAGCAAGCAAAACCAGACCAAAAGAGTTAACTGCCTTGTTTTCACAGTTCTTGGCAGTCTTCCTGGAATCCGTCTGGCAAGTTTGAACTGTCTATAAATCACAATGCAAAGGGGCCACCGGGAGAGGCCGTCCAAGGCAGTGATAGCGCCCACCCATCCATGGACGGGGAGGCAAGGCGACGGCCTGTGCCACGTCCTCCTCCGAGCTAAGCCCCGCGGAGTCAGCACCTCTGCCCGATGCCCGTGCTGCTGCAGCATTTGGAGCTGCCAGCACATTTGGAGATGCATGGGAAGGGGATGGGCTGGGCAAGGGGTGGAAAGGATGGGCGGCTTCGGGCTCTCTCCACCGGACCCGCTGGCCAGGGAAGCAGCGCTGCTGTCGCCTTGCCTCCCTGTCCGCGGATGGGTGGGCACTATCAGTGCCTCGGGCAGCCTCTCCCAGTGGCCCCTTGGGGTTCGGGCTGGAGGGACTTGGGAAGGAAGCCAAGCTTGGGTTGGCCCGGCTCTTTTGCTTGGCAGGCGGGCACCCACCCGCGGCTCGCTTTCCTGGCTCTGCCCAGCCCACACGGCTCTGGCGTGGCCCTGGCGGGATGAGTGGAGGGCCCGGCGGGGAGATGCTCACTGCCTTGGCGAGAGCTCCGCCGCCGGGCATAAGGGCCCACCTGTCAGCTGTGCTGGACGCCCCAGATGAAGCTCTTTGCGCTCTGCCCGGCACCAGGCAGGGATGGCGGCTGGGCGCTTCTCCCAGGGTGGGCCGATCCTGCGCTGCGGCCGCGGGAGATTCGCCTCCCTACATGGGGTTGGGCTGCCCTCTCGGGCAGGGGAGGCTTTGTTGTACCCGTAGTAGGGCATCGTTTTTAAAAGAATTGGCTTTGCCGGCGAAGGGAAGGCGGTGACAGGAGCACCTGAAGCCGAGTGTCTCCGCCGGACTCTGGTTGCAGGGAGGAGCCCTGGCTGGCCGTGAGTGGCTGCGCCAAACGCCACGGCGTTGTTCTAAATGCCACAGCAGCACAGGAGAAGGGAAAGCAATGGTGGTGGAAGGTCTCCCAATATGAAGTGCCCCACCAATGCCAAGGTCAACATCCAAGCCGTCGCTGCCCACCCACCCGAGGATGCAAGGGGGGGGGAATTAAGTCACCCCCGTAAAGACAACCTAGCCATTTTTGGGGAGGTCAAAAAAAAATAAGGCCCGGCCTTATTTTGTGAGAAACACGGTATCATGCAACCAATCTACCTATAATCAGGAATGAAAGAATGATGGAAGAAAGGCTTATCTCTGCCCACCTCCCCCATAGAATTAGATAAAAATAGAAGATTGCATGAAAGGAAAGAGCTATAAAATAATTTCTGTAGTCCTACACAGGACTCGCATTTGAAATTCCGACCTTTTTAAAAATAAAAAACCTACATATAATGGGGCATATTCTTTAAAATTCGGACTTATGACAGGAACATTGAGTCACTCTATGATTTGAATTTGATGGATAACTAAGGACCAAGGTTAAATACCTTTATACTGGAGGCTGGCTGGATGAGCTCTGTGATGGATACCTTGTCTTGCTGAAGCCTTCTTTTGACCAACTTCGAACAGCAGATGTTGACAGAGTTGAGAACATGCCAGGAGTTGTACTCCACAAAGGAGCGGCTGTCAATGACCAACATTCCTTCGGTCCCATTCTTCAAAAGGCTGGCAAGTTTCTTGGGATCCATCACTTTGTGTGGAAGTTTGTCACCGCCCATGGTAGACTGATCCCTTCCGCAGCAAGTGGGAGAAGAAAAGGAACACCCAGGGAAGAGAAGCCAGCTCAGATATCCCAGAAGTGGAGGGGGAAGGGGAAAGGCAACTTGAGAACAATCAACTTCTGCCACGCTGCTAAAGCCCCGTATGACAAGTCATCGTGCCAAACCTGTTAGGGAGTGCAGAGAGAAAGAGAAAAAGAGGAGGAAAAAGTAGTCAGATATTGCAAGTATGCCATGTTGGTTCTAATGTATTCTGCTCTAGCTCAGATCTGGGAAAAACTATAGTCTTTAGATCAGAGAGTCTCCATACTTGATAACATTAAGACTTGTGGGCTTCAATTCCCAGATGTCCACAAGTCTTAACGTTGCCAAGTTTGGAGACCCTTGGTCTAAAGAAAACTCTATCTAATGCTACCATTTCAACCAGGTATATCTCCAGAAGCATTCAACTTATCTCCCATGCAGCAGGCACCAAATTGGATAAATGAATCAGCTAGAGGAAAAGGAAAAAGATATCCTAAAATTATAGCTTATGTATGATGTTTCAAATTTGATTTTGATTTAGTCCTAGATTCTTCATCTGTACTTTACATAATTTACTGATTACTGTCTTACTGTTCCCTAATAACACTATTCTTTACAATACTCTGTTTTTGATGTTTTGAAGAGTCTAAGCTTCTGCAAAATACAGAAGTATTACTTTTAATAAAGTAATTTGCTTACTCCATCAAATAGCCTTCAGAATCACACATTCCAGATTGAATTCACCTGAGGCAAAACTCAGCCTTGCACGTGTATGCCTTAGAGCAGGGTGTCAAACTTGTGGCCTGGATGCGTCACATGCTGGCCACGCCCAGTCCCAGTTTAGTGAAGGGAAAAAAGTTGTGATACGTCACGAGACAACAATGTGTCATCACAAGTTTGACACCCATCCCTTAGAGTATGTTGTAGCATTTATCACTTTAAAACTTTTCATTATCCACACCATTATGAGAGAGACATCCCGAATATTGAGTCGAAAACTACAAACCTAGCATATGAAACTCCTTTTCTACATTGCAAAAATCATACCACAGAGCATGCATAATTTAATTTTGCATATTAAGAAATGCATATGTATTCCTGTTTGATCACATGCTTGTTAAAGCATCAGGCAAGGATTAAGAAGAGCCAATTAAAGTATCCATGCAGACACGAAACTCATTGGGTCATTAAGCCAACCAGTTTTGCTTGAATCTAACTCACAGGTTTATTGTTATGGGAATAAAATGAGGGGAGTTTCCAAGTAAACCAACTTGAACTATTAGAGGCAAGAGGGTGTATATAACCATAATGCAATAATAATTTTTTAAAGTAAAACACCATCTACTGCATCTGGAGGACCAAACTTCATCTAGGTCCTAGGATATGTTTCAGATCGCATCCATACAATATTTATAGCATAGTATTTATACTTATAGTATTTATTTAAAATATTCGTATAGCTGCTCACCTTAAAACAGAACTCTGGGCAGCTGGTAAAAAAAAAATAGAAAGCCAAGTTTAATAACAGCTTTTCATTTTTGGGAAATAGTGGTTTCAACACAGCCCAGAGTTGGAAACCACCATATTAAAAATTCTCACTTACTTGTAAAAATGGATATAAAAACTAGCCTCATAACTTAAACCTGTTGAACTACACCTCTTGAAAAAACTATCTGGAATAGATTAATTTGCCTATTGTTAATAAAAACCATTATAAAACATAAATGATTTGCAGTACATTTATCTTACTTATTTACATTTGCCTTTCTTATTATCAGAAAACCTTACATTGATCGGGCTAGAAACCAGACACATCAACTTCAATGGTACTTAAAAGGTACATACAGTTGCGTTTGAGTAAATCTCAATGCATTTCAATAGGCCATATTTCCAAGTAGATTTGAGGGATCCTTGGTGCTCTCTGAGCTTGATTGTTTTCTTACAGGTGTTTCATTACCCCAAACTAGGTAAGATCATCAGTGCTGATAACAACCAAGATCAGAGAGCACCATGGATCCCTCATTTCAATCCTCAGCTACAAATATTCTTCTTTATTGGTACCAAGTAGGTTTGAAAAGGAGTATGCTACCATATATTCAGTTTACCTACCAATACTAAACTGGAAAACTTGTGCACACACTTTGAATTGTGTTAGATGGGGGGCATGAAAAGTATAACCACATTTTCTGTCAGGCGCATTGCTAAGAGATCCGGTTTATTATGGTCACCTGAAACATTTGGAGGAAGAAGGGTGTTCTTCTGAGAGAAATCACAGTAGCCTATTTTTAAAATAAAAAAGGAGTGAGGTGAAGGAACCCTGATAACAATACCAAAAACTCCTCTTTTCAATACATTATTTGCCCATTCCTTTCTCTCTCCAGTGTGGATTTTAATTTTTATTATTTGTGTCTTTGGTAAAAGATGAACTGCTCCTTTGGAGTTGGCTGGAATAACCCTTTCTCTCTTTTGTATTTTGGGGCAGGCTTTTCAAGCTGAAACAGCTCCTAATTAAGAGAAATCTGAAGGGGAAGATGGAGGCTCCTGTGATTGTTATAAAGTATACTTCATTATGTGCTTTCAGCCACCCGGAGGATTCCCTGCTGTACCTATTCCTACAGAAATGAAAATAATCAGAAAGGATGCAAATTAATTGGCTTTTCATCTGCTTTCCACACTCCTTCCCTTCTTCAATCTTTTATCTGTGGAGAGGGAGAAGAGAGGAAGAACGAGGAAAGGACCAGCTGAACATTTCTCCAAATTCCACTTTGGAGAAATATTAATTGAAACAGATGGACCAAGGCATTTCCCTAAAGAGAGCTAGATTACACAGGCAAAGGCAAGAGAAGGAACAGTAGAAAGAAACTGAGGATTGGTCAAATAGCAAAGAACCAGCCAATGAATCAGAATTCCATCTTTATTTCCACTTTCAAGTTCCCGAAGAATGGTCAAGATCCAGGGATATCAAAAGGCAGCTCAAGGAGATTTTGAAAATATTAATATTTTTAGAAATTTCTCCCTCTCTCTCATCTGTCTGTCTGTCTGTCTCCATCTTGGCCTTTCTCTGGACAATAATACAAAATACCTAAGTAACAAATAGGAAAATACATAATGCAGAAGAGAAAATTAGCATTAATTGTTTAAAAATGTTGTTCAAAGGAAGAAAGTATGCATTTAATATAAGCCTGTTTGTGCAGGATGAATTTCCAGCCTTTGCCCTCCCTTTTGTTTTCAACAGTGAAAATGGTTTGTTTAGGATGACTTAGCTAACTAAAATGTTCTACGTTTCTTCATGCACTTGCCTTGGTAATGTCAACCAGCATCCCAGACAGGCTCAAATATTCACAAACTGCTTTCCAGAAATAGAATCAACAACTTGATGAGGGTGTGATGCCCTAGATCAGTGTTTCTCAACATCAGTAACTTTAAGAGGTGTGAACTTCAATTCCCAGAATTCCCCAGCCAACATGCTTTAAGTTGTCAACATTAAGAAACACTGTGTTAGATGACACATACTGTGTAGGCAATCTTCCTTTAGTGAGAGATAGACATTTTGGGTGTTTTTAAAACAAAGGCAGAACTTTGAAGGAATGGAGCAAATCTGTGGTGAGTAGTCTCTGATTGCTATTGATATCAACAATGAGAAGTAGTCATCCTTCAGAATTAGCAGAACCAGGCTGCTAGGGAAGAATGTTACCATCAACCAATGTTATCACCATCCCCTTACTTATGTTTTAGGCCAAGGGTCTTCAGATTTGGCAAGTTTAAGACTTGTGAACTTCAACGCCCAGAATTCCTGAGCTAACATGACTGGAGGAGGAATTCTGGGCGTTGAAGTCCACAAGTCTTAAAGCTGTCAAGTCTGAAGACCCTTGTTTTAGACAATTCCGTCTCAAGACTATAATCTCCATTCTACCACAATTTTGATTGTATTCATCTCCTATGAGAGTAGTCTTTCTCCCTGGATGGGCTGAAACTTGAAATCCTATTCCTTGAAATGACACCATTACATCACAGAATTTCTTTCTTTCCCATGCTTATCTTTTCATCTTAGTAAGGTATCACTACTGTAGAAGCTTTCTCTCTCTCTCTCATTAGGCTCACCAGGTGAATGCTAGATGAGGCACCCCCTGAAAGATAAAACACTATTTATGAGCCATGGTGATGCAGTGGTTACAGTGGAGCACTGCAGGCTACTTCTGCTGACTGCCGGCTACCTGCAATTTGGCAGTTCAAATCTCACCAGGCAAAAGGTTGACTCAGCCTTCCATCCTTCCGAGGTGGGTAAAATGAGGACCCAAATTGTTGGGAGCAATATGCTGACTCTGTAAACCGCTTAGAGAGGGCTGTAAATGCACTGTAAAGCGGTATATAAATCTAAGTGCTATTGTTATTTCCGAAGGCAGGACATAATCAGGATGCAGAGACCCAAAGAGTTTCTGGGATTCATCTTCTATCCTATGGGTTAATTCAGACATGCTCCTAACATTTGTTCGTATTACTTTTGATGAACTCTTGCTTAACCTTCTTTTTAAATAACCAGTTTATTAAACTTATCAAATATAATAAAATACTAATGAAAACCCTTGCCTAATCTTTAAATGATTCCAGAATTTTTATACAGTTAAAATCTTGACTTCATTGGGAGTCATCTGTTAAATCTGAAGGTTGACTTCCTATTTCTAAAACTCAAATTAGGACCCTTATGAAGATAGCCCTCTATGGAATGCCATTCTCTTAGGACAGAGGGGTCCAAACTTTTTGCAACGAGGGCCAGATTTGGTGAGGTGAAAATGTGTGGGGGCTGACCATTCAGCCTGACATTCACGGGAACCACTGTGCAGTGAAGGGAAAAATGCCAGCTGGCGGGGATGAGTGGCAGGCTGAGCCGGTGGGGAGAAGAGCCTGCAGACTGCTCAAAATTTGAAAACAGGCCGCAATTAGCCCCTGGGCTGGATATGCCTGCCATAGGTACACCATCATGGTTATATACTCATATTAAGCTTAATTTAATTAAGTCTTCAGGAAAAAAAAGATTTATTAAACACCTGGTGAAGCCAACATAAAGCTCTTGTAATCAGCAATCTGCCTTTCTGTGATGTGGTCATAAAAAAGGCAAATCTAAATATTCCAGGTTGAAAGTCTT